AGACAAAGTAGACAGATGTCTTGTTTTGCACCCGCTAAGTCTTTCTGCACCGATGGGCGAAAAATCAAGCATAGGTGCGAAGGAAAGGTATATAGAAAGAGGGGCAATTTCGTATTTGAGGAGAGTAAAAAGGAACTTCGTACATCTTGTACGAGTTCAAAAGGCCAGGAAGAAAAGATGGGACAAAATAAAATTTTAAATAAATGGCCCAAAAATAATAGAGGGAAAAAGAAAAAAAAAAAAAAAAAAAAAAAAGGGCCTATAGAAAGAAAAGGAAAAGAAGTAGAAAATATCCTAAAATACGATTGTGTCCATGAGTGTAGTTAAAAGGAGAAGAAACTGTCTTCATTTACAATAAATAGTGTCTCACAGGTGTGTTTGTGTAGTGAGTGTGTTTGGTAATGGTGAATAGATGTGTTACTGGGGAAAAAAACAAATATTGACGGTGTTAAAATGCTTCGTATCAAGGTATTTAGCATGGAATATAAAGTAATATGTATGCTTGCATCCTGAGATATCAACAAAGGTCATCAAACAAAAGTATATATTAATTTAACCAAAGTAACTTATGCTACTTTCATTCTCAACATTTTCATACATTTTTCAAAAAGCAGCAGCAGACTAACAACATAGAACCATATACAATACAAGACCACAACCGCATACACCCAAAAAAAAATAAATAAATAAATAAATAAATAAAAATATATATATATATATATGTGTGTGTGTAAATTACTGAGTATATGTATTAAAAACACAAATTAAACAGTATTTATTAATTTAACTATCATAATTTATTACAAGATTAATTATTTTACTATCATAATTTATTACTAGTTAAATAATGTTAATATAACACAATGAGGCACACTGTTATTTATATAAGCTCATAGTTCTAAAAATTCATTTAAGGCGGTGAAGAATAAACCATCCCTTACATATGGACATTTAACAGATAGCAAAGAACAGTATGAGAAAAAATCGGTGAGGTATAATATTATTTAAAGGCGAAACTATATTCAAGCGATCTAGAAAGAAAAGAGAATCCAGAAGATCCGAGAGGGAAATAGCGCGATGCCCAAATTATCCCTCTCATCCCCAAATTTTCCCTCTCTCGAGATTCCTTAAGGGCTTTGTAAGTGTTGACAGACGTGAACTGATAACGCTGGCGTCTGTTTCGAGTTGATACACAAAGGAAGCCACAAGCAATGGCAATTTCAAGTATTTTTTAATGCTTTAAACTGATGAAAAATTAAGATTTATTGATTTAAAGGCACTTATTTATAGAAATTTGATTTAGTTTAGATGAAAGAAAAGTACTTATCTTAAAATTCCAGGCTTTTGGAGTATATCCTTACATTGTCCGCTGTTTTATTCTCGTCAACATCGGAGCCGAAATTCATTGGAATGATATAGGTTTTGTAGGTGAAAAAAAAAACATTTTTCAAAGAAATTTAATTGATAATCACCAAGAGGAAAGGAAAAATTTTCACTTTTTTACGGAGCGCAGCGATCGTGCTGCCGCTTAACCCAGCCCCTTGGAATTCCGCTTTGTTATGTCCCAGAAATGAACTGTAAAATGGCTAAAAAAATATTGGCAGAAATTTCCTTTTTTTCCATTAAACTATTTTGTAATTACGTTTCAGTTTTAAACGTGAGAAAATAATATAACTATAAAAAGGTGTGAACATACAAAAAGGAGTGACACAAACAGTAAGAAACAGATAGTGCAAAAATTTTAAAAAGTTATTGATTTGTATTCTAGGATTATTAACAGTACCAAATCCTGAAATATTTGATATCATGTAGGACTTTTTACACTAACAAGTTACAACACATGTATTAATCCCATTCCTACACAGATGCTATTCATAAAATTTTACATAGGTGAAGAAAGTACGAGTACTATTAAGCACTGAAAATATAAAATATTCACTTACTTTCTTCAAATAATTAGTAACATGCGATGGATTCAGTCACAAACGCCAAGTCCACGAATAGACAATATTCTTTGCGACTTTACCATTCTTTTTCGACCTGCCATTGCTGACTTCACAAATATCCAGCCACAACCGGAAGTAGAAAGTGTCTGCTTTGCCACTGGTCAGTGAACAAGAGAATTGCAACGCTTTTTTTTTTTTCTCTTTATAATTAAACATATTAAGAAAGCCTCTAAATTAGCATATGAAATAAACTTACTTTTGCATTATATAAACTTATATTCACAGCATCTCTGTATTAAAGGTAATAATTCAATTTTTCTACGAAAAATAGAAATGTCTGTGTATGCGTCATGCTCAGTGTATAATCGTAAATCTGGTTAAATTTTTATAATTTAGCGTTAAATTAACCATATAAATTTTGAGTTCATTTAACTGGACCCGTTGTACTTATTCTGTAGATCTCCATATTAAGAATGTCTTTAATGTTTCAGGAAAAATATAAAATATAAATTTAATTATTTATTTATTATTTATTATTTTTTCCTCATATAAAAATTATTAAAATCGCTATATATCATTTTTCCCCGTACATTAAACAAAATTAAAAAATGTTAGCCTCATGTGATTTTTATAACAAAGATTAAAGGAACTGAAATATATGCAAAATATCAGGATTCAGCTTGCAATTTCGTAGAGTTATTATTATTATTATTAAATAAAAATATTAGTATATCTTTGATTATAATTAATGATCCTTTGGTCTACATTAAACTATTGTTCAAGAAGTTAAACATTTTCAAGCATCTTCTGCTCTATTTATTATTCTAATCCTCGAAATGAAAAATTTGCTAGTCTTATTCCAATTTAATTGCCCACATTTGCTAAATAAAATAAGGCGAGTATTGTACCAAACTCAGTAACTACACAAATTTAATATACAGCTTAATCCAGTTAAATGGGTAATAGGATTTTCATAAAAGAAATTAAATTGTGTAAATTAATGTAAGTGTTGATATGAATAAAAATAACAAATTTGATATAAGAAAATAAATAAGTTATTTGAAGATCTTTTAAATTAAGAAGAAAAATATAATTTTTGAAAAAAAATGCACGTAAAGATTTAGCTCACATGTTAAAATTTATAGAAAAATTTTAGCCTCATATATGAATGCCCCTTTTTTCATGTTCGTGGAAAAGGAAAACAAAGTGAAATGCCAAAAAATGCACTAAATATTTTGAATTAATAAACTTCATTTTCAATCTTTTTAGACTTCGTATAATATCCGTAAAAGTGACGAATGAAATATACCATAAAGGCAGTAGTTTCTTTCAGAACATTCGGATTCGTATAATATGCGTAAAAGTGACGAATAAAATATACCATTATGGCGGTAGTTTTTTTTTTAGTACATTCAGATTCGTATAATTTTCGTAAAAATAACGTGTGGAAAATAACGATAAAGAGTCAACAGTAACTTTAGCCTTTTTCATTCGTATAAATTTCGTAAAAGTAACGTGCAAAAAATACCATACCCTTATTTCACCAAAATTATACGTATATTTTTGGAGACGTGCTGCCTGGGATTAGGAATGTATCGTATTAAGATAAGAAATCTTGTGCAAGTGTGTGTAATGTGAGAAAATGAATGCAAGAACCGATGGGGCAGGAACGGGTGGCAAAATTTTTAGAATTTTAGGAAAGGCAATGGGCAGTAGAATTTAGTAGCAACAAAAGTTTTAGAATGTAAAGAAGCTTCAGACATTACACATTTGTGTAGCTCCGGTCCTGCTGAATGTCCTCAGAGATAGTCATACAAGTGTTCACAATATCAAACAGTAATAATCAGTAGTTATACTCCAAACTACTAGAAATGAACAGAACACAATGCACAGCGCATTTAAAGAGAAAGCTAATACGATCTCACACTGAAATCGCAACAACAGCAGCTAACTAAACAACTGAGCTGAGATCTTCAACTTCAGCTGTATGCCGAGATTAGCATGAAAAGTTCATGCTGTGTTCTCCCGGCTGTTAGAACTTCGTATACCACAGAAGGACACTTCAAGTAGAATGATAAGCTGAATGTTCGCTGTCTGGCTTTTTATAGCTTTCAATCGGTTGCGAGAAATTTCTAGTAATTTCTGCTTCTCGAGATTTCGGAAAGAAAAAAGGAGTAGAATTACGGTTACAGCTAACATAGTAGTCAATTACATTTATTCAAATTAAATATAAATTACAGAGATATCCATTTATTCAATGTTAAATGCACGTGCTCCTGTATTTTCACTTTTTCCGGCATAGCTTTCTCTTAAAATTCGTCTAGTGCTGCATTGCTCGGGGAAATAAAACAATTTTTATTATAATTCTACTAACATTAGCTATCTAAATACGAAATTCGTAACAATATATTATTCTTATTATGGGTAAAAAAATGGTAGACTTACAAGTAAAGTGAATTTGTGCTTTAGATTTTTATTTGGTAAAAGGCATCCATATTGTGGTCCATTTCCGTAAATTTTTCCAGTGGGATCATAGATAGGTATATACCCATTTTTTCCGGCGCAAAGAATAACTTCATTAATAACTAGTTGGTAAGCAGATTTCAGTTGCTGCGCAGGGCTCCAAAACACTCGTCCATAAACGTCGTCCCCTACAAAATGCATTATATTAATATTTAAAGATATTTATGGTTTCAGTTTTTGATAAATTTTGAAGGATTATACAAATGAAATTTAAAAGAATTAACAAATTAATATAAAAAAAATCTGAAAGCTTTCAGATTTTATATTATGCCCAAAGGGTCGTTTTTTAACGTTTTGTGTGTGAATTTATTAAATATCATGTTCTTCGCACTTAAACCGTAAAACTCAGTTCAACAGCAATATCACAAAATATTTAAAAGAGCATATCTTTAGAATTTCCGATACACAGTCTCGCGTGCTGGAGATATTTTTTCCCCCGTACAGTGTTGCCTTTGCTCGCTTTGAAATCTTTGAGTTTCTTAATAAAAATTCTTTAATGTTTGACAAAATATTAGATAGGTAATAAAACAAATTCCAAATTTGGGCTTTCAGATGCCCACATTCGAATGGAGGACTAGGTTATTCAAAATTTGATATATCTAGGTACCTTCGTTTTTTCACTGTGCAAGGAACATACACACTTTCATGCAGATTCTTCGTTATTTAATTTCTTTAAACATAATGCAAACTCTAATATTTGCTGGCAACAATTTGAAAAGTTAACCGACACAAAATGCCAAAACGAAATTAATATCCCTTCTGGGCAAATTGCCTTTTTGGGCTAATAAATTTAAAAATAAATGCAAAACACAGAAAGACTCAAATTTTTATCCTATATTAAAAATAACAAACGTTTTAACAAACCTTTAGAGAATGAACCTTTGTATTCTATGTATTGCAGATTTGAAGTATTCTTAAATGGATTCCACAGAAATAAACTTTCATCATTGAAAAGTTGAAAAAATGTTTCTAAGGCATAAGTCACTGGCTCTGGGCGTATAGTTTGTTGAAAAGCTAGAGGTAATTCAAACCTGAAATGAAACAAATTAATATATAGCCTGTCTATATATTATTCATCGAATAACAGAAAAAAACGTGTTTGCTATAAAATTATATCAGAGAAAACTTATAATTGATACAACAACTTTCAGCGCACATTATTTGATACGACATTTCAAATAGAATAACTTCATTGATACTACAGTTTTCAGTGAAATTATTCTCTTTTCGGTGTAAACTGGTAGTACTTTGACAAGTAAGATAATGATGATTTCAGCGAAAGTCGAAAAGTGCAGATGAAGAGAAAAATGAAATAATAACCAGTTATCAAAAAATGATAAGTAGATTGTTAAAGTTTTAAAAGTTCAGAAAGACAGAGGATTTAAAAAAGTATTGTCTTACTTCTGAGGAGCTTGAGCAACACAAGGGATGTATTTATAGCTACTTTGTTTAGAAAACTGTTCTGAGGTTGTAACTTTGCAGGGTATCAAATACACAGTATAATAGCCACTGTAATCCTATAAAGAAATGTATGTTATATAAAATAGTACCTCCACATCTGTAGACAAATTAGTTTTATACTATTTAATACTTTTAATTAAACATCAGCTCAAAGGAAAATAAACTTATATATCATTCAGTAAAACTTCAAAGAAAATATTTTACATTAATTATACATTTAATGACCAAATATAAGAGAACATTTTTCTGAGAGTTATCGGTCTCCATCTACCTCGAATGATACTTCTCACACACAAAGACAACGTTTCTATCAATTATATAAGATTTTCTACAGAAATTGTAATCCATGCGTATTACAAAATCAATAGTTTTGGTTTTTGTTTTGGTTTATTAGATTATGGCAAAGCACTCGAGGGCTATCTGCCTTAAGGGAGGGATGCCTTCGTGGAGGACTTTTTAAGGGAAACTGGCTCGTATACACGTTACACATGGGGAAAACCACGAAAACGCCCATGCAGCCAGCCCGTTCGCGGGATTCGAACCTCGGACCGAACTACCAGTGTTCAGCGACGTTACCGCTCGGCCGCTGGTGGGCCCCCAAAATCAATAGTAACTTTATTCTAGACATTAACATATTCATGGCTCCAACAGCATTCAAAAGACACAAGAAAGGACTTGAATTTGAGAACCTTGGAGGATAACCTGTACCTAAAATTCAGACAAGTGTTTCTAGAGAAAGGTCTCTATGTTCTGTACGAACGAAACGCATCTTATGTGCATCTCTTATAAGGACCGAGCATCTCCTTATAAGGAAGGTCTTTTAACTTTGAATTTTCAGTTTTTATCAAAAAATATATATGAATGTATTCATCTAGAAATGTATAATAATAAAAGCTTCTAATAGTTTAGGAATAATTCAAAAAGCAAAGTTAAAAATGGATTTTTTTTGTCCCCAATGCCGTACTTCGTGATATAGGTGCTGGGCAATAGCGAATTGTTTGACGAAATTTTAAAATTTCATGAACCTTCCAAAGCAGAGCTTCATTGTCAAATGTAGTGGATTTGCTCAAATTCTCACTGATTTATCAATTCTTTTTTTAAATATTGTGTACTTCCAAATGATAAAATGATTTGAATTTTTATTTGTATTGATTTACTTTCGACTGTTTCGATATTTTATCAAAAAATGCTTCTTTACTTTTTCAGTAAGTGCAACCTCCATTAACATATAATTTAAAGGAATCAGGGGGGAGGGAGCGTAGTTGATTTTGACTCTAAAAAAAGCCAGCTATTAAGTTAATTACTCAATTCCTAAGTATAAAACAAAAATAAACAAAAAAGGAAAAGGAATTTTTCATAATGAAAAGCAAATGTTATCTCAAGATGTTCTGCGCCTTAAAAATTATTTTCTTACGATAATGTTAGGTCTATATAACATCTGCGGAAAGTTTCACCATGTAAAATATAGCAATAATCCAGTCTGTTCTTTGAAGTTAATTGTATAATCAAATCCTTCATTCCTTATTTATGTTACGTTATATATATTTACGAAATTTTATCACGATTTTCTATTTCTTTCTTTTACAAGTTTATAAACAGAAGGTTTGTTTAACTTCTGTATAGTTTCACTTATCAATGTCCTACCACCTGTCATAATTAAGAAATCCTTATTTGATTTCCCTTTTATGATAGAAGTTTGGTTTGCCATCTAGCATTCAAGAGGGATTTAGTATTGCAATATATTTCACGTACCTAATATTAAAATGTGACTCGTCTAATTGTACACTTAATGTTAAAATATTCATACGAATAATATTAAAATATTTATACATTTAATTATATAATGAATTTTTTTAATACTGTGAGTTATATACTTTGAGTATTTCATAAATCACAACCATCTTATCTTAAAATAAGTTTTACTTTTAAATTATAATTGCTTGTAGCTCTCCAGAATTGTAATGGGCCATCAAACGTTTGTTCACTCCACAATAGTTGTAATTCAAACTGTAAGCCAAGTTTTTCTGGGGTAGAAATGTGGCTCTTAATCCCTGGCAAAGTATGATGCTCCAGAACAAAACAGCCTAAAATTGATAACATATTCATTAAAATACTCAAACACAATTGCATTTAATTTTTTCAAGTACACAAATAAAAAGGAAGGTGGAGAATGAGATAAAAAAAAAGAAAGTAAAAGGATTAATAGTTATAAAAAATTAATGGAAAACTTCAAACTGCTAGTTTTGAAACATACTTAAATCAGACTTTAGAATTCTTAAAATGCTAATGTTGACACTGAGTTATTACGTAAATTTTTTTAAAAAAAGCCATGCGATAAACTACGGCTCACTCATATTTGTTTGCTTGCTTGGTCAAATACGACAAATCCTGCTAAAACTATTTCCCTGAGAGAAGAGGCGCCTGCTAAGAGGACTAAAGTACATTTCGTGGAAAACCTTTTTTCTTAAGTTAAATTCATATATGCTGTATATCAGTAGACTGATTTAGAAAGAGGGAGAAATTAGGTAAATAGACAGTTGGCTATCCAAAATACAACACTGTGAAGGAAGCATGGAGGCATCCAATAGGTTTAAAATTTGCACCGTAAGTAGGCTCATATCGAACATGCAAATGACTAGTATTGCAGCACATAGGCAAAATCATGTGCTCCAGTAACGGCACGTAGATGCACCATAAAACAGGGGAGAAAAGTCGGCTGTTTTAAACACTGGAGTTGTGTGTTTTCCCTATCAGGAAAGTTTCTCTCTATCTCTCTCGTTGTAAAAAAACGCAGTCATTCGAAAGAGTTTCTGAGCTTGACGGAAGAGAATTGAGGCTTACAGAGGATTATTCTTCCGGAAAACATATGCTTGTTTTAGACAATGCACGTGAATCAAGCCTCTGTGATGGCAAATATGGAATCCTCCGCTGCGATGGGGATATGGTGGCGTATGACAATTATGGATTAATGTTATTAAGGATTACTTAGATTATGGAAAAAATCTAAGTAATCCTTAATAACATTAATCCATAATTTTGGAAAAGAAAAGGAAAAGGTAAAGCTCTTTGCCTAATGGGCACAAATGCCTTCATAGACAATGTTTTAAGGGCAACTGGCTCATATTTACTTTACATATGAGGATATACACGAAACTTCCCATGAATATATCTCGTTTGCCGGGTTTCAAACCCTGATCAAACGACTAGTATTCAGCTGTTTCACCGTTCTGTCCCAGGTGGAATGTAACAGTGACGGATCTCACAGAAATTAAGAACGCTACCGAAAGATTTAAAACGTTCTGTTGCACAACAACCTGTGTTAGCCCTTACTATTCGACGTAATTTGAAGAGTAGTTGGTGTATTTAATTACGGCAAAGCACACTAGGGCTATCTGCCTAAGAGGAGGGATGCCTTTCGTGGAGGACTTTCTAAGGGAAACTGGCTCGTATACACGTTACACATGGGGAAAACCACGAAAACACCCATGCAGCAGCCCGTTCGCGGGATTCGAACCTCGGACCGAACTATTTGAAGAGTAGAAGGCTCTGCAAGGTGTCCAGTACTAAGCTGACTGTCTAAAACCATAGGCGTATGCGGTTGCAGTGGCGCGTTGAACTCAAGACATGGGCAAATGAATGGCACCACACAGTCATTTCAGGCGAACTTCGAATCTGCCTAGAACAGCAGGATGTACGTATCGAGTCTGGAAGCTTCACAATGACAATGGGAGTCTGGAGGCTTCACAATCGAGGCACATATGACTGTTGTGTCACACATCATCATGCCTGTCCGTCACTTAAAGTTATGGTTTGAAATGCCATTGGATTTTATTCACGTATCCACCAAATATGCACTGCTGGCGTACTCAACAGCAGTGATTATATTTATGAAATTCGGGAGCCTGTTGTACTCACAATTTTTCACAGTTCAGCTGCGGCAGCCGCGACCATGAGCACAAATAGAATGCGCCAGTTGGATCAATTTATTCACGAAATAAGGTGGATGGACATGAACCACGCAGTAGGGAATTTTTTCCACTCTTTTTTATCCCTGTTTATTTTCATTTTGTTCAAAGCACAGAGACAAAAGCACTAAATCAAAGAGGCAGAAAATTATTTTTAAGAAACCTAAGATAACATGCATTTGTAATTAACTGTTTGATTGCATTTATTGTATTACTTACACTGTATATATATTGTATAAATCAACTTGGCAAATCAAACAACAATATTAATCAAATTGGTTTAAGGCTTCCAACAATTTTCTCTTGACAAGTTCTGTTTGAAGCGTTAAACAGGGAAGATTAATACATATTTATTAGTTTATTGTTTGAATTTTTATTATTTTCTGTTTCGTATACGTATTTGAATTTTCTTTTAATTTCAGATGTATTCCTTTTGGTTTCATCTTTCATAGAGAAAGAATTGGTTAGGGCCTTCATAACGGAGAAATTATTATTTTTCATTTTAGTTCCGACTTTTAGTTTTATATATTGAATATATATTTGATTTAATTTGTGTATTTATTTATTTATTTATATGTTAATAAAATTAGAGTGTTTTTGAAACTTTGTTTATCTTTGCTATAGATAAATAATTTTTGACAAAGTTAACAAATAACTACACAGGTCTGCGATGAAAAAATGTTTCAAAATTTCTCTGTGATTCCTATAAAATGTTTTGTGCTGAATCCGGAAAAAATAATGAAAAAAAAAAAAAAAAAAATCCTTAGCTGAGCTATAAATCAAACATTAAGTTTACATTGTTAAAGCTTTTCTGACATACATACAAACTCGTTTTTTTTAGTATCTATCTAGTTAGTTTTAGTCTAGTAGTTAGTTTTATGTATATCATATAAAATTTATTAAATCTTTCTTCGCATAAGTTAACGTAACAAAGGCGATACATCAAACCTGGTAAAATCCGGTTCACAGAAGGCGAAACAAGTGACGCTTTTCAGTTTTGATTATTTGTTATTTCAAAAGAAAGGGTTTTTATAGGATTTGTTAATTCTCAAGGTCTCTTCTGTATTTGTGAGATTTAAGCAGTTAAAAAGCAGCAAAGAAACATATCTGATTTTGTAAAAAAGTTTATGTTGCTTACTTCGGCATAAAATTGGGAGATTAAGATAAACCTCGGACTTTTCACAAAATGCTCTGCCTGCATTGAAGAATTCAATTAATGGTACCAAGATAAGAAAAAATCATTTCGTTTTGGAATATCTGCGATTTGGAGAGAACATGCGAACCATAGCGATGATTGTTATTTTTGGTTTTTTGTGTGCAAGATTTAAATTTAAAGAGTAAAAAAAAAGATTTCATATCACAACGTCCCTTCAGCTATTCGCCCTCTTCCCCATGGACTTGATTTACCAGTCCTCCCTCCTCCTCCAGGTACACTTGAAAATAGCACTTTAGACGACACAGATCCATTGTCATATGGCAGCAGTGATGAAGACAGCAAGAACTGTTATGATCCAGGTAGTCATGAACCAGAACCTTTCACTCAATCTGAATTAAACGATTTAGTAAGAGACCTAGGCCTTCAAAGGATTCGGCAGAGGTTTAAAAGCGGTTGTTGGCTCCTGTTTAAAAGCGGTTGTTGGCAACTGTTTTCATGGTACCGATATACAGTAAAATAATTTCTGCCGTTTTTTCCCACAAGGAGGGGACCTAGGTTTTCGTAACAATATTCCTGGAGTGTTGGCAAGCATCAAATACACTGTCCTTCATCATAATGGTAACCAATATGCTTCTTTTCCTCTCGCAAATTCAGATGATTTAAAAGAATTCTATGAGTCTGATCATAAATGGACGATATACCGTGATTTGAAAGTGATTTATATGTTGCTAGGTCAACAGAGTGGCTACACCTCGTCTTCATGCTTCATTTGTGAATGAGATAGTCGTGGCCCAAAACAACATTATATTAAAAAAGAATAGCCAATCCCTTATTACTACCTACTTTAAGAAGGAGCGTGCTTTAGATGACTTGGTGAACAGTTTCCAGGTTTATCTGAGACAAAGCTTTGAGAAGGTGTATTAGTTCGGCGTGACGTAAGAAAACTTTTGAGGTAGGGAAACTTTAAGTAAGAAATGGAAAACACAGAAAAGAAAGCCTGGTGGTGTTTTAAATTTGTGGTAGCCGGCTTTCCTGGCAGAGAAAAAAAAAAAAAAAAAAAGTCAAACTACAAAGTATTTGTTGCTTATTTGTTGGAGAACTACAAGCAGTTGGGCTGCAACATGAATGTAAAAGTTTATTTCCTTCACTCACACCTGGATTATTTTTCTGAAATATTGGAGCTGTGAGTGAGGAGTAAGGAGAACGTTTTCTTCAAGACATGGAGGAAATGGAATGAAGATATCAAAGGCAATGGAACGCTAATATGATGCCAGACTACTGCTGGACGTTAAAAAGAGAAATTCTGAAGTTTCACAACAGGAAAAGTACCGAAAGTTTTGATGGGAAGCGAAAAACCTTTCTACAAAGACTTATAATCATGTTGTAGAACATATTTAATCTTTGCTAGTTTTATTAAAACATTTACGTATTTATTATGTAGCTAACCAGCAGTAAAATTAAAGCAAACATGTATAAAAAATTATGTTTTTGTTCATTTTTCTTAAAGGTCTTACCTTATTTTGCAGAGAAACCGTACACGATTGAGAAAAAAAAAGTAGTCTTTAAAATCAGCACTGAAAACTGCATAGGAATCGTTTAAAAACCTACATCTTTTAATAATTTTTTTATAGACTTGTGCTATTATGGTACGAAAATTGTTATTGTAATTATATTTTATCGCATAGTTTTCATTATTATTGCCACCCAATATTACCGCCCTGTATTATATTTAAAGAAATTAAATAATGAAGAGTTTGTATGTATGTTTCTCGCTTTGTGAAAAAACAACAATACCTAGAGCTGTAAAATTTTAAGTAACGTAATCCTCCATCCGAATATGTACACCTGGAAGCTCGAATATGGAATTTCAAATTTTTGTATTATCTATTTTAAATTTTTAAAAATTTAACGAAATTTTTATTACGAAACTCAACGATTTGAAAGCGAGCAGAAGCAACACACTGTGCGGAATAAAATAAAATATTTTTATCTCCAGTGCGCGAGACTGTCTATCGGAAATTCTAAAGATATGTTAGTTTTAAATATTTTAGTCCAAAGTAGGGTTAGCTCAAATGTATGACTTTGGGCGTAATATAAAATCTGAAAGCTTTCAGATTTTGTTTATTATCATTACAATGATTTCTAATATAATGATTTTAATAATTTATTATAATACCTTTATCGTAATAAATAATTATTATAAATTATTATAATTAAAAATAAATTATAATAAAAAATTTTTTAATAAAAAAATAAAAGTTATAATTAAAAATTATAATTATAATTAATTATAGTTAAAAACTTTAAATTATTATAAAATTAATTAAAAATAAGTAAAAATTATTATATATCCTTTTTATCTTTGAGCTGAAATGTATGTACGTTAAACGCTAAAAGAAAAAGAAATTTCTATATAATTAGTTATAATATTATACATTAATAAAATAGTTACAATTATTAATTAATCAGATTTCTTTCTGATTTTTGCGCTAAAATCTATTTGCATCATTATATATGTTTGGATATGGAGGGACGGAGGACCAAAAAAATATTTTGGCAAAAAAAAAAAAAAAAAAAAAAAAAAAAAAAATGATCGAAATATATTTTCGTATAAAAGCTCACAATATTGGAAAATGTCACTTTAAATTATTTGCAATCAGAGGAGATACCGATCAGATGAGTTGGAAACCTGTTGACCGCCATTCTTTTTTAACTTCGAAAAGAATACTTCCGTTAAAAAATATAATGCCATTATTTTTAGTGATCTCATTTTAAACAACGAAACATGCACTATTAAGTTAAAACTGATATATTATGAAAAATGTGCTTCAATATTTTTAGTTTCTCGGGTTGCAAATCAATGCGAATCTTCGCGTTTGTTTCTGAGAATATGAAGCAAAAGCGCAAAGACAACTGAAAACAGGACAAAAAACGTTGGACAGGATCACCCGATAAACGGACATTTTCCCTTGTGTTTCATAATGCTGTGTTTTGGATAGCCAGTACTGTATTTCGGCATCATTTATTTCACTTATATGTCATTTTTATTATTATTGTTATTATTATTATTATTATCCTTTTAAGAAAGTCGGTAAATCTTGTTTTAAACAGCTTCCGTTAAAGAAAGAATGCGACAGTATGCTAGAGTTATTGAATTTATTCGAATTTGTTTAATTTCATAATGCAAAATAACTTTTGCTTCTTAAATTTGTATAGTTTTTATTTTTGTAATCAAATTAAAATTGTCGGAGTTAAAAGTGTTGACGTTATTTGTTTCTAATAGTGTATAGCAATGAAACGTGAATAACTGTAAGGATACTCATTGGTTTTCGATCTGCGTTTTCTCTTACCATAGAACTTTGCTACTGTCTTGAACTCAAAGAAAACATGGCCTTCAGAATCCGTTCCGACACGAACCATGGTAAGACTTGCTGTCAATATGCTGTCCGAATGTGAACCTGATTTCCACAAAAATGCGTCATAAAAAAATGAGAACTCCATTTCTGTGTGGCGTTCTATTGTTGCCCAGCCTGTCGGCGCTGCAGCAAATACGTAAGTTACAAAAAATGGAAGAAGAACAGTAACGTAATTTTGGTCAGTGTCTCTCACCTAAAATTGTAACAAATCATTAAATTATTTAAAAAGTATTTGAAATTTGTGCGCAATAAAGTAAAAATGTAAATTAAAGGTAAGTAAGTTTGAAAAAATGTCTTGTTTAAACTATCTAGCAATTAATATTAGTTACAATGAAAATAAATTAAAAGATGATTAATAACTAAAATAAAAATAAATACAGTTTAGGATAAAAATTTTAAGCCAAATCTTTCTTCAAAATTTTAAAACACATTTAATACATCAGACAATATACAATTTCACACGAAAAAATTAAATATTTTTGCACTTAAAAGTTGAAAGCTCTGAGATAAATTCTTAATGGATTTATACTTTGCTTAACCTCCTACTGAGTCATATGATAAGGCCTGTAATCAAGATTTTACTGCTACTGCTCAGCCGATATATGCTCTCATGAACTGCAGTGAAATCATAATTGTGTTGCAATGAATTGTCAGGACTCATGAATCTCAAGATTGCTTCCATCATGTCAAATATTCCGATGATCTCATTGGTAAAGAGTATGGAAGGTACAAATCGTGGTTTTCAATTCAGTGAAATGTTTCTCAGTCTGTAATGTGGCAGCTAAAGGAAGTAACACCTGTTGGCTGTTACACTATTTATTTTTAATAAAAGGTAAAAGCGTGTTTTTTCAAAACTGGCAACGAGAGTAAAAATTCTAAGGAGGTTACTGTCACTTGCATTTTATTGTATTTTATGATTATTCTAGTAGCTTCAATTTCCATTTGCTTTGTAGCTTGAAATATTGTGGAACAAATTAGTTCTTAGTTTTCTTGCAACTAGTAGGTTTGCGAAAATAATCCTCGAAACGAACGAAAAGAAAGACCTTTTTCTTCGAAAGCAAGGATACCAAGAACATATACTATAAAGATGAAATTAAAAGAGCGAAGAGGAGAAAAATATTTTTTGATGAAACAACTGAAAATGAAATCACTTTAGAAGCGAAAGAAAGATTTAGAATTGAAGTATTTAATGTAATATGCGACAATATTTCTCAAGACCTTAAGAAAAGAATTATATGTTACGAATAAATAACATCAGCGTTTAAATATTTTTTCACCCTAGACAAGCAGGAAATCAAAGTATCCATCAACATTTTTTGTGAGAAATATAGAAACGATATTGAAGAAACCAAAGAACATTTGAAAAACAAAATTATTCATTTTCAAGAATTGTGTAAAAATTTAAACAAAAACACGATTTATGAAAAATTTGAAGTTGTCCAGACGGCGAAACCAACTTTTCCGAATATTAACTCTATTACAAATTTATTTAACGATACCCATTTCTAACGCGTCGGCCCTAAAAACCATAAAAACATAACTTAAGGTTTAATTTGAGTCAAGAAAAGCTTCCATCCTCATTATCCCTACTATATATAGGATATAACGCAGTGGAGAAACTTAATAGTGATACTATCATATGCCAGTTTGCAAATATTAAGTTACGAAAAAGACTATTATAATTTTTTGTTATGTTATATCTTAGAATGTTACTTTTATTTTTACCTTTTTATGTTCTAATTTAAAATATTTTTTTATTTTTAATATTTTTTATAAGAATATTGTTTTGTTTCTTATTTTTATATATGTTTTTACTACAAAAATTAAACAATAAAATTCTGTTTCATTTGTTAGCGGATCCAAGGAGGGGCTCTTGGATCCGCCAGTGCCAAGGAGGCCCGTGGATCTTCTGGCCGAGGGCCCGAAATGAGCTTAAACCGGCACTGATCGAGCTGCAGAAGAATGGCTCTCATTATTTTAAATAGGTAGAAAAACTGAGCTTACTCGTACAGAAAAATTCATAGAAACTACAAAACAAATATTCACAATAGCCGTTTCGGATGCTGCTGAAGTATTTATAAAGATAACAGAACTGCAACAGAGCTAGATTCCTTAAAAACCCTGCTTCAAGATTTGAATAAATTACATAATGGATATTACGAAAAAGCTAAAGACGAAGAATTAGAAGAAATTGATGATTGTTTAGAAGAATGGAGTACGTCGTAAGACAAATGAGCTTAATTCTTTTAAACCTTATAACTCAGTATTCAAAATGAATTAATAGTTGACGATTCTTGTGCCTATAATTTCAAAAATCCTAATAATCTCTTCCCAAATTCTCCTACTAGAATTCTCTGGCTTGTAAGAGGAATGAAATCATTTCAAAACTGCATTAAGTAATCTAATATCTAAAACCCCTCATTTAACAAATTCTCAAAAGTGTTTTTTTATGTTATTAAAAAGTTATAATTTATTTCATTATAACTATTTCAGAAAAAGTCCGATTTTGTGTCAAAATAGCTATATTAGAACAATGCTATAGATAAATCTAATGTGTATCCTAAGTCGCGCTTTCGAGACACGAAAAACGCAATTTGAATTTCGTCAATCGGCCCAGTAGAACGGGAGAAATAATACTGTCCCCCCTTTCCCCCCCGCTATGTACAAACCATGTAACATTAGAAAAGTCTTTCATAACTTACACAAATGGTATTTAAATTTTGTTTCGCAGTGTACAAACCATGTAACATTTGGTATTAATTTTAATAAAATTTATTAATTTAGTAAACATGTTATCACATCAGTATTAATAAAAAATAAACCATATTGTTTTTAAATGACTAATTAAAAGTTATATTATTTATATGATGCTTGATGGGCTGGCAACAAGGTGTCATTAACAATTTGCAATAGTCTTGACACACTGATGTGTCAGAAAAATGGGAATTATGTTGATAAAGATGTTTATATCATCAAAACGTTTATTTAAATATATATAGTTGTAAAAATTACCTTAAAATCGGATGTCACACTTCCACCGCAAAGTTCTACAAGTTCGCTCATACTGTACCATGCGTCAAATGTCCACTTGCACTTTTTTAGATCTAGATGCTGATATAGAAGATGTGTTTCGTTACTGCATTGGTCTCCATGATAAGGAAAAGCTTTATTCATGTCATAAACTGTAGGTTTCAGGTTTTTTAAAAATCCTCTATTTACTTCTGTTTGTGTGATGGCTGATTGTAGCAAATTGGAACATACATGTTGCTGTCTGTAAATATTCTGGGATAAGAGGAACTCGACGTTATGCAATGGATGAGTTGATAACAAAGGAAGAAGCCCATCCTAAAAATAAGTAAACAAAATTAGAATAAAACCCAGGACCGGATTTAGATTTGACGAGTTCCTAAGCTGTTTGAGATATGGGGCCCTTTATGAGGTATATGAGCCAATTTTTTATATGGGATGTGCTACAAGTTTTAAAGGAAGGGAAAGAAAATGGGGGCCCTAAGCTATTGCTTGTTCAGCTTATACGTAAATCCGGCACCGGTAAAACTATATGCATAGTTCAGGAATTAATAAATATAACATACTGGAGAAATAATTTCTTCATCAGTGGATACCTTGAATTACAAACCAGGCCCTTTAGTCTATTTTTTATTTTTAAAAATAAGAAAATTTAAACTTTTCATTGGTTAAAGCAACATTTTATATTTTTACCTCTGTATTGTATATTACCCAATAAAAATAAGCCGAGAATATATCCCTCTATTTATTGTAGTAAAAATTTATTAGACAATTTATTTACAGCTAAATTTTGGCAGTTTATTTTCACTCGAACTCCATTCATCTTTCATTTTGTGCCAACTTGAATAAAAATCTTAGTGAAACATTTCCATTTCGTGAAACATGAGTCCTTTTTCACGTTTGTTTGACTTTTTTTCCAGTCTATTAAATAGTTAAGTTTTTCAATCGAACTTACAATTGAACGTTTTAGCCTAATTTTCTTCTAAACTTAATCATGTGCCAGATTACTTCTTGTTGCAGTTCGATTTATGCTAATATCACAATAATAGAACTATTGTTCTTGGCAGTTCTTTATAACTCCACGCGAGAGATAACTGGATTTTATTTTACAAATCATTAAACAAAATCGTATCAAAAGATAACTTAGAAATTTCAAATCTGATGTTCAACGTGGTACCTATACTATTTGATAACTACTATGTAGACAAGAGAGATAGTTTTGGGAATAAGTAATAATAGACATCGATTAGCCTATTAATAGATGTGTGTGAACTCTTTATAATACAAAATAGCAGAGATTTCGCCACACGGAAGAGCAAATAGTCATTGAAAATGTTCCTACCTACCGAAATGATGATTAGATATGAGTCCCTTCAATAGCACGTATGGCCTGCTTGGACATTCAACGCACATTTGGTATCAATTATGCAAGCTCTCCACTAAATTATTAAGAAGAATTTCGTAGGTATTTTCCCTTTCGTCTCTCAGAATGAGTTAGAGTTCCTGCACGGTTAGGGAAGGGAACAATTTTTATGCAAAATGTGTACCGAGAACTAACTGTTTTAAGCGTGCTATAAGGGATTGAATTTAGAAGATATACATTTTTTCCCGTCACTCAGTGACTTTCTTCCAGTTTTTCGAACACTTCATTTACATTGTGTGGGCGAATTTTGTCATCCATTTATAAGTAGTCTACATCAATTGCATTACAAAAAAGGTAAAGCCTAGTAGAATCTCGGCGTAGACCACTGGAATGTAGCAGTGCCTACGCCAGAGTCGTAAAGCTATATTCTGCCATTGTACATAATCACAATCACTTCACACAATCACTCGTCGGCCATTTGAATATTCTATAACTGATAATGGGTTCCTCGTCAGTGATCATAACCATTAAAAGGCGAACGCGCGCTGCTCAGAATATCTGGTTCTCTACCGAAATTAGTAGAACTTCAAAGTTAAATCAAATGATGTTTTACAAACATTCTTTGCTCAACATTTGTCATAAAAATGAGAATTTATGATACAGTCTTCAGAAATCTACAACGTGATTGTCTTCTCAAATTCCCTGACTTGAAATTAGGAAGAAATAAACAGCTGTTGTGCACTGCATTTTGTATGGATATGAGACCTTGCACTACAATGTCTTCTTAATTTTCTGCAATTGTGCAACGGTCGAGAAACGATAGCTAAGTAATTACAAATCAATTACTTAATCTACTAATAATCAATCAATTACTTAATCTACTAAATCAATTACTTAATCTACTAATTCATCGTTAAATTAAGTACTTAATCTACTAATTCATCGTTAAGCAATCAAAGAGATTCATTTTACATTATTGCTGAAATATATCTAAAAGCTTACGATAAATATCTAAACACACGATAAATTAAAATCATTGGATAATAAGCAGGAAAAATTACAAAACCTATGTACACAATATTTTAATGAATTTCCAGAATTCTACAATGATTACGATGAATTTTCACACTGTTTTTTTTTATAACCTCCAAATGCACATTCTTACCTCTTAAGAAAAGAAACTAAATCAGCTTTATTTGATGAACTTTCAGATTCTTTATAATCTCTAAATGTACATCCTTATCTCAAAAGAAAATTACATCAGATAATCCTTTTACAGTAATTTTATTTTTTAAACATTATCTTTATGCAAATCATTTGTTATTTCCCTTTATGTATTTAAAGAATCGCTGATGTTTTGTGGTTTAAATATTTTCAAAGTAGGGGGCGTGTTTAAAAGGTGGAGAAATTTTTTATATTGGTTATAAGTAGTGACTAAATAATTAAAACCCCGAAACGATCTCATTAAAAGGCTGTGTCGTGTTGAAAAAAGTAAGCATATTATACTTAGCTCAGTCAATATGATAAATTATAAATGTTTTTGACAGTTTTTCAGATTAAAAATAATTACTTTGAAAGATTTATCTTACGTTATCTAACAGTTAATTTTTAGTTAAATTTACTTTCCTGCCCATTCTTAATTTCAGATTACAACTTCCGGCCAAAACGTATTTTCAGAATCAGGGTCAAATGCAAATGAGGAGAAGAAGATTTAACTTTGAAGTTCTACTAATTTCGGTAGAGAACCAGATATTCTGAGCAGCGCGCGTTCGCCTTTTAAGCTACTCTCTCTCTTAAGCCACTGTTACGTTCGGCTGTACTTGAGGCCCTTGATAGCTTCGCCGTTAGTTAGCGTTAAAGGGCCAACTCTGTTAGAATCTTGATAGCTTCGGCTATATCTTTTTAGTTTAGTTACGTTTTACTTCTTAGTATTCCTGAGTTCAAGCCCGAATGGAGGCTTTATTGTAAGCTTCAAGAAGGAGTCGTCTGTTAGTTTTATTTTGAATAATAAAGGATATTTAACCCTTCTTGAGTTCTGCTTTCTGTTCACTGAACTAAGCGATTATTCCCTTACCAGTTCTTAAGATTCCTCACTTTCAGCTTTAACTTAAAAACAGGAATCTTACAACTTTAAATAACTAATGTATGGCTGTTTCTTTTTGAATCAATTTCCAGAAGACTTGGCTGAAGCCATTCTGTACAATTTGAAATTTGTTTTCATAATAAAAAAATTATCGATTTTATAATCGCGTTTAGAATCTAAATAATTTTTTAACATAAAAAAAAATTATATAAAGAAAATCAAAAGGAGATTATTTTTTTATTTTTTATTTTGTAATGTTGCGCGCTCCCAACCTGCACGCAACAATAGTGGTGACTGCTATGAACTGGAAAGTACACAAAGTCTTGAGAAGGGTTTAAATCCCTTTTTATTCAACTTTAGAAATTACAGATGCGTGCTCTTGACGCTCACAAACTACGCCGACCCGGCGGTAAAATAAAAATAAGAAACTAAAAATGAATAATAACAAGTGACTACCTACGAGGCTCTCTAAACGTAACTAACCTAACCGCGTTCTAAGATACCGCTGATAATTCAGCAAACTTCTGAATATTACGTTGAAAGATTTAACTATCTGCCGAGGCAAGCACACAGGCCGAAACGCGTGGTTCTTCAATTTCTACCTAGCCACCTCCACGCTCGTGAAGCAAGAAAGCACACTTTCGAACTCGTTTCCCTTCTATTTAACTCAGAATACTTCCGCTGACAATTTGAATACTTTGCGCGTTCTACTAAAATTTACATACTCTGGCATTGGCAATTCCAGGGGAAAGTAAGGCTTGACAGGAAAGATAGTTTAAACTTAAAATAAATGTTAGTTAAAATAAATATAAACCCTACATTTGCCGCTGCCAGAATTTGGTAAACTTGGAAGCAGGTCCTAGAAACGACCTGTTGAAAAGTTTCCACAATTCTGAACTAAAATTTAAGAGCCTCGTTTACATAAAAAAACTGTTTTCTCACAAAAGTTAGAATAAATTTCTGTAGATACTTATTTAACCCTCTCTTCTTACAGCAACCTTTCCTGGACTTCAGCAATCAATCTGTTCTCTTCCTTCCAGCATCTGGAAGGAATAAGTATCAGTATCTTTCTAAATACATTATAATTTACACTTTCTTGACACTGAATAAGTTTTTGTTTTTGATCGATTTATTTTCCTTAGTTACTGCTTAATTCACATTCATTCAAGTATTCAAACATGAATTTAACTTTACCCTGGCTCTCCACCATGTGTGGTGTCAAACGGGAATATTCGTGTTTTAGTATTGCAACACTTCCCCTAACCACAATGATTTGTTAGAATTCAACGACCAAATAGACACACCTTACTCGACATTCTAAAACTCGATGAGCTATTTTAACATTCTTAAAATTCAAGTGTAGGTGGAGAACCCTACAAAACACATTCATTCTAAATTCCCCCTCATTCATCTTTAGACATGCAGGCTTTCGCTCTAAAGCATGATTTTATCTACAGTTTAATACTTAAATTTGAATTCATTTCTTTTGAGCATTTACTTTTAGCATCTAAAATTTTATGCTTCTAGACTAAATTCTACTTTTACATAACTTTCAAGTATTTACGTATATTTACAAAATTCTAATCCATATGATTTTTGCAATTTACCATAAAATGAATAAGAGAAAAAAAAATTTTTTTTTTCTTCACGCATTCTTCGCCAAGCTGGCGGCACTGAAACTAAATTTCTTATTAATACAAGAATACGAAGTTATTTTTACTTTCGGCCAAATTTTGGCTTTAACATAACAGAATTAGTCTTTCGACCAACAGAAACTGCTTGTTCTTAGATTTTATACTTAAAGAAAATAATACTTTTGCCTTAGCTAAATAAAGTAAAACAAAACTAAGTCTCAACCGAGACAAATTGACT